CAGCGCCTCCTGCTCCCCCTGTTCCTGCCAGTTTTATGAGGAGACGAATAAGGAGGGGAAACAGATAACTGCAGAGGTTCATTTGCCAGTTGTCAGGCTGCTGGCGCATCAGAAATAGAGTCATCGCTCGGCTCCCTCCTCGCCGGCGGTGCCGGCGCCTCCTCGTTGGCAGCGTTACTTATTCATGGGCCCTTGGGCACTCGCCGTGTGTGAGCGGGGCCGGGGGCCGTCCCGGCGGGAGGAGCGGTTCCCGGGCCCAGCAGGCTGGATCCGGGAGCAGCCGGGGCTCCGATCGGAGAGCTCCACGCGCCGCCCGGCTTCTCCCGCTCCCAATTAGCAGCCCTGGAGAGAGGGAAGGGAGGCCACGCGTGGAGCGGGGCCGTCAGCCCCGGGGGCCTTCTGCCCAGGGACGGCAGTAGAGGCCGCGGGGCCAGCGCGAGGTCCCCGAGGCCGGAGCGGAGCCTCCTCAGGCAGCCCTGGTCAGCAGTGGCCCCAGTGAACTGATTTTCCAGCAGCCAGTGTGGTGGGACAACAAATACATATATTATATATACACACATGCACATATATATACATATATATATGCATGTCCCAGTACTGCTGATGCTTGTTGCCTTTAGTGGCAACGAGTTCCACGTTTTAATCAAGAGCGTTACGAGGATCCTCCCTGCAGTTCCGGGGCTCCCTGGAAGCGGATTGCTCCCGACTCCGTGCAGCTCATTTATCGCGAGGTCTCGGTCGGAGCGCGCGCCCCGGGGTCTCTCCTCGAGCCGTTGTGCGGGCAGCCTCAGCAGCAGCCTGCGTGATCTCTGCTTGTGTCCGCAGGCTCTATTGCTGTGCTGATGCCAATTATATTTACAGATGTGTATGCAGATGCAGAGCAGAGAGGAGCATCCTTGCCCAGAAAGCCCCTGTTCCAAGTGCCGTATCCGGCCGGAGCTGCTGATGTCAAGACCCTGTTTACAGCAGGGCCGGATTTGGCTTCCAGGGACAAGTGACTTACTGCTGCAGCACTGTGAACGTTAATGCAGCAATTCTGGAGTTTACATATGAGCTCTGCGCTTCTAACTGCAGCCCATTGCCTCCGCCTCGCATCAAAGCGGCGCCCGAGCTTCAGAGCCGCTCTTTGATTTGCTTCTCCCGAGCAGCAAAACAGCAGCCTGAGGAAAAGCAAGTGAGGACGGCAGGGAAGTTCTGTGCTCAACCTTCCCCGGCTATAGGAGCTTTTGCTTGTGGTGCGGGGGGGCCGTGGTTGGGCCGCGCCAGCCTCCCCGGGGCTCGTCCAGCCGTGGTGTTTGCAGGGGGGCAGCGACTGCCTAGAGCGCTGACTTGGGTGGTGGCACCGAGCAGGGCCCCGAAGGACGGGGGTGTCGTGGGGAAGGATGGGAATGTCGTGGGGAAGGTTTAACGGGCGCAAAGCACCGTGTTGTGCCGTGTGACCGCCCAAGGCCCCTACCTGTGTGTTTAATGCAACCCCCCGGCGAGGGCTGGTGCTGTCCCTCCGTGCTGGCCCCTCGCCACGGCGGCCAGGGCTGCTCCGGAGTCACCCCAGCACTTGGGAAAGGAATGTTAAAGGGCTGTTATGTAAAGAGGCCGCTGCCCGAGCACACTGTGTTTTCAGTGTAAATCTGCTGCAGGGAATGATTAAACCTTCATTTAGTCTTTTTTTATTATTTCATTAGATAAGATTTATACAGGTACGGCCCTGGAAAGGTCACCCGTCCTCGGCACGCGGGAAGAGCTCGGCACATTCTTCCCTCTTCCCGCCGGGCGCTCGGGGTGGGAAAGCTCCGGTCTTGGCGCCGGGGCCCTTCTGGGGAGCTGCTTCACGTCGGCCCTGTGCAATAAGCGCTTGCAAAGCCATTTAAGGTCCCTTAATGGCAAAACATGGGCAACTGGTGACACCCACGCGTGCCCCCCGCCACCCTGGGTCGGCTGCAGGCGCTCGGCGCTGCTGGCTGGGGTCTCCTTTGGCAAGGGGCAATGGGACAGCCCCGATACGTTGTTTTTTCAGCCTCTCCATGATCTCCTCTCCCTTTTGGGAAAGAAGAGCCCGAGCAAGCGAGGGGAGAGGGAGGATGTGCTTTAACAGTAAATATAGCCTTGTTATTTATTGATGCCAAGTAATTGAAGTAATTTCACGTCGTTTTTAAATGCAGTGCCTTGGGATCTAATCTATCTGTCTGATATTAATGGGTAATATTTGGTTGCCTCGTTCATTCATTACAGTTTTCATTAAGACTCTAATCCCATTTAGGAGCCTGTTTGTCATTTTAAACTCCTCGGTTTTATCTTTGCGTGCCGTAATCCTTTCTGGCAACTGAAACTCGGGAGCCGCAGGGCTGCGGTTTGGGGCAGGGGCCTCCGCATGTGGTTTGGTGGTGACACGTGTGGCCTCGGTGCCTCCGCTGGGGCTCGTGGCCTCCCCTTGGGGACACCGGCCCGGCCGCGTCCCCCGCGGTGCCGAGCGCCTGGTCCGAGCGGGGGTCCCAAGGAGTCCAGGGCTAATTAGCGTTCCCAGGAACCGACCCATTGTGCCGTTAATGAGTCTCTGGCACCGCTCCGACTAAAACAGTAATTTTAATAGCGCAGCCCACTTGTACGTGTTGGCTGAGCACCTAATTACCCTGCTCCCAGCTCCAGCCTTGTTCAGACCTCTATTTTTGCCACTTACCAAAGAGCGCGGCAGAGGATTGCGCTCCTCATAATTACGCACCCTAATTAATTTTGTGCGCGCCTGATGAGCTGGGGCAGGGCTGCAGGCAGGGTGGGGCGGCGGTGGGGGTGGGCTGGGGACCGGTGCACGAGGCGCCTCAGATCCGCCCCATCGTGGATGGTCCGTGCCGAGATTTGCTGCCTCTGCCCTGGGAAGCCTCTCCGGTCCCTCGTGCTCCAGCCCGTGCTGGGGAGTAGCCGAGGAGGCTCCTGGGGCGGTGGAGCCGGGCGCAACGGAAAGGTTGCTCGGATCAGAGTTTAAGGGACTTTCTCCATGCGCTTCTGCAGCCCTGTAATTAAATAATCCCTTTGTAGTCATGGAAACGTCGTCTCCGGGTCCTCTCCCGCTCACCGTTTCACTGCCAAAAGTCGCGGGCGCTGATTTGATTCCACCAGGCCCTGGCAGCTCCGCAGCCCTCCCTGCGCGGCCGCGGCCTCCCCGCTCCTCCCCGTGCGCATCCCAGCTCCGGGGAGCCGGATCCCGCGGGACGTTCTCGGCGCGACGGGAAGCAGTAATGACACTGCGTAATTAGTTACTGAGAAGGGGTTTGTCCCGAGGCTCCGGGACGGAGCAGAGCCCTGACTCCGTTGATGAGTTCATCACTGGAGACACCAGGGCTTTGCTGGGGCTTAGCCCGGCCCTGCAGAGAACACCCCGAGCGCGGAGAGACCTGCCAGGCGCTTGCTCCGAGGGCCAGGAGCACTTGGGTGACTTATCTCCTTCAGTGTAAATAGAGGGAACTATTTGCATTTCAAAACTAAACACAGAAAAGCAAAGCTCTCTCCAAACAAGCCCCTGTGCTCCCCATGGAGCTGCCCCGGGGCCGGAGGGAGGAGAGCGGAGCGGAGCTGCCCACTGCTCCTGCTGCCTCTGTTCAGCTCCTCCAGCCTTTGCTTGGCCACTGTGGAGAAAGGATCATTTCTCTGTCTGATCCCAGTGACTCTTGGCTGGATTTTTCCCAAATCAGCAGTGATCCGTGGTGCCTTTCCTGGTTGTCCGCACATCTGCTCCATGGTGCGCCGTGTCTCCTGCGCTGGGACAGACACAAATGCTTTGGTCTCACCATGATAATCAGGCTGGCAGAGAAGAGTTTAAAGACACGTAGAGCCAAGGGTTCTTCTATCCCAGCTCCAGGAGGAGGAAGGGAATGGGCTCTCCCTCTCCATGGTCCCTGAAGGAAGCAGCTCTCAGCCATGGGGGTTCGCAATAGCTTTGCGCTAACGCATGGAAATAGCCGACTGTCAGTGGGATTTCTCCTGATTTTCCGTTAAAATGAAACATATTCTTTAGAATGCTGGATGCTGTTAGGTATTTGGCTTGTAACGATGGCCAGTAACATATTGGTCTTGTGAGCACAGGGCTACAGACCTGTGGACACCGCTCCGGAGCCGTTGGCAGCCTCGGATCGGCTCTCCGCTGCTCCCTGTCCTGTCTCGTCCCGTCCCTGAGCCTGAGCCATCCCTGCGTGTCGCACCCCCAGTCTCCGGCCCTCGCTGCAGCCTCCGCGTCCCCGGGATGTGGAGGTTTCCTGGGGCTTCCCCAGGGTTTCCCCAGGCCCAGCCGTGCGCGTCCTGGGGCCGCGGGCTCCGCTGCGCCGCTCCCGC